TGGCTAGAAGTACAAGAATCACCAATATAAAACCTAAGAAAAATAAGTGATGTTTCACCCATAAAGTTTTCTCTCACTATTTATGTATGAATGGATAAAACTATGTAAGTCTTTTCCCCCCCAATTTTTCCTGCCTAAGATGATGTCTCTGTTATTATATGAAGTTGAAACAGACCCTATGACAAAGAATGATACCCTTCTTCATTGAACACCCAAGGGCAAAGTCCAAAATCCCCAAGGAAGGAATGTTTTAGTGTGTTACCCAACAAACATCCTAGTCCACCGAATCTCGACCAAACTGCAATCACAGGTCTTCAAGCAGTGTCGACTGGTTGCAACCAAGTTCATCGATGGCCATAATCATAAAATGCTTGGAAATCACACCGCTATCGTAGATTAAATAGCATTAGAAGAAACCTGTGTAAGCACAATGAACAACAATTACTTTGTTCCTCTATCATCTTAAAGGGCTAACAACCCAGCCTGTAATAGGATTCTGTCGCCGAAATCTCAACTTCCCATGTCCACCACTTTGCAATCGCTCGAGCACTGTATACGTAATCGAATCTGGTGTCAACCCTTGCTGCTTAAGTTTTGAATAAAGGTCCACTGCCTCAGCAGTTCTTCCACACCTTTCAAGACAGTCAAGCAAAATATTATACGTGATCAAGTTAGGAGTGCATTCTTCAGCAAGCATTTCATCAAACAACCTACATGCCATCTCGACTTTATCCGTCTTGCCAAAGCACTCAATAAGTGTGCTATAGGTCACAACATCAGGATTTAATCCTTTCTCTTGCATCTCTTTAAATCTCATGTGAGCTTCATCAATATCCCCATTCTTTCCAAGGCAATTGATCAAAGAGTTATAGGAAATGACATCAGGCTTACAATCACTATTCTCTAGTTCTTCAAAAAATTTAACAGCAATGTCTACTCTTCCAGCCCTGCCAAAGCTGGAGATCAAAATATTGTATGTAAATATATCTGGTGGGGGACCATCCTGTTTCATCTTTTCATAAAGATCATGAATATGTGATATTTGTTTCAACCTGCCAAGAGCTGTGAATGCCGTATTATACATAATAGTATCAGTGGTTATACCCTTTTCATGAATTTTATTCAGAAGGTCTATGGCTTCTGTCATTTTGCCAGCACTGCATAAACTCTCCAACATGGACATACAAGCATCTTTGTCACCCTTGTCATGAAAGTTCCACATGTTACAAAATAACCTATGTGCTTCCGAAGCATGACCCAATTTGCTTAAAGTCCTAACAAAGTATGAATATATCTGCTTGTTAATATATTTCTTTGATATATCAACAATATTGTCTAGCTCATTAAGCTTCCCCTCAGCAACCAGAAGATTCAAAATCACACTGTACGTGAACTCATTAGGCTGACAATCGTTCTCCACCATCTTAGAGAAAAGCAGAATGGCCTTGTCAACCATTCGCCCTTTGGCAAGCGCCTCAATCATAGTATTATAACCAATCAAATTAGGAGTACAGCCTTTTGCTAGCATTGCTTGGAAAAACGCCAGTGACTCCTCAGTTTTGCATGCTTTCCCAGTCATTCTGATCATAATAGTATAAGTGAACACATCTGGCTCACAATATCTCCGCTTCATATCCTCGAAAACTTTATATGCTTTATCCACCTGCCAAAACAATGCATACACATGATAACTGACGAACAGGAGCAACAGATGTAAATGTACTTCCAAAAACAGTTTACAAAACTTGTGGCAGTCAATTAGATGTTCATCATCTATTATACAAACTTATCTTAGAGCCTGCTGAACAACATACCAATGCAAACTTCTGAAGTGTACTTCTAAAAACAGTACAACACTAGTGGAACTCTATTAGATGTTCATCAATCTATTTATACAAACCTAACTTAGAGCCGCAGAGCAACATACCAATGCAAACTTCAGACAGAAAAGAGCACAAATGGCAAGTTCAGAAGCAATTATTAACAACTTATTTGAGTTAGTATTATGATATAAACAGTTGAGTAACACTCAATTTGAATAAAGTTTACATAACATAAGCACTTGTAGAAGAACAAAATAAGGTAGAATGAATTGAGTTTATCCCTAAGCTAACATTCATCTGTACACTTAACTTTTTATAAAAAGCCTCTCATTTAACTTCTCCAAAAGCTGAGTAAGTTAATTTTAGCATATAAGAAAAGATCAATTCATTTACCTTCTTATTTTTCTTGTCCTAAGTATTTACAAAGATGTATCCAAACAGAATCCAATTGTTAGAGAGAGCTTATGACATTTTATTAGTTATTTTCAACTTATTTCCACGAACTTCTTGCTAAAGCAACTTACAACTAATATGAAAACAATTCAATCATATCTTTCCTTTGATTTCAGAACAATTTATACAAAGTGGTAACATGATGAATACGTTTGCTAAGATGTCTGAAATCCTGAGCAATAATCTAGAGTGCTAACCTATAATAAAAACGTCAGAAATAAAAAAGATAAGTTTCTCCAAAAGTTAAAAGTAGTCTATCTAGAAATTAAAAATGAAAATTTAGAAAAGACAACTTCTAAATATTCTACAGATTAACTTATATATAAACTAATTTTATATTATGGAAAAGACTAATTTATCTTTTTTAGAAGTTTTTACGGTGTCTTGGGGAGTGTTAGTGTAGTTAATCCAATCAACAAGAAAAACCAGAAAGGGAGAACAGAAAGCAACTGCAAACCTTCTCATCCTTGGCCAAAGCATCCAAAAGCATGTTGTAGCCAAAAATGTCCAACTTATACCCACGCCTAATCATATCCCGATAAACCTGAAAAGCAGTAGAAGAATCCCGGGACCTCAAGTAGGCTTGGAGCAAGCACTTGTAGGTGTAAGCGTTGAGTCTGAGGTCCCACTTCTTGACGAGTGCAACGCAGCGTTCCAAGTCCTCGCCAGAGCCGAAGAAGCCGACGAGGATGTTGACAGTGGAAATGGAGCCGCGGACGGCATGGCGGTGCATGTGGCTGAGGAGGTCGCGGGCCTGGTCGAAGCGAGCTGGGTTGGTGGACTTGGAGAGAATGAGGAAGAGGCGGTTGTAGGTGAAGGACTCATGACGGAAATCGGGGGAGAGGGAGGGGCAGAAGTGGAAGAATTTGAGGGCGAGCGAAGGGCTCTTCAGGTTTTTCAGTATTTCGGAGGCTTCGAGGGGGGAGAGAGAGAGGGAGAGAGACTGGAGGTAATCGGAGAGGTCGGAGAAGGGGTCGGAGAAGGAGGACGGCGGAGGGGAGAGGAGGATTTGGGTGGCTTTGCAGATGAGGTCACGGCGGGGGAGGAGGTAGCCTCGCGGGTCGGAGGGGAGGGGCGGTGGCGGAGTCACCTCCGCCGCGAGGGAGCGGCCAGTGGGGGCGGTGGAAGTGATCCTGGCGGTGTACTTTGTGGCGAAGCAGCGGCGGAGATGGAAGATGTGTGGGGTTTTCATTTGCGGTTGGGTTTGGTGGGGTTATTGGGACAGTGTTGGGTTCTACTTCCTCACCATGCTTGCTTGCTTCCTCTTCCAAAATGCAAGCTTTTGTAATTTGCATAAGAGGAATATTTTAATATTAAGGAAAACAAGAAAAATCAGATAAAATTATAATTATTAATGTTATTATAGTATTTTATTTTAAAAGTTTGAAAATATTTTAATTGTGAAATAAATCATATTATAATAAATAATTTAAATATTGACATCCATACAGAAAAGTTACATGTTATTTTTGAAATACAGTGAGATGACTTTGATGTGGAAAGTATTCGGCATGTTATAAAAAAATTTGGAAAATAAAAGAAGATATTAAATATATAAAATATATTAAAATGAGAAAATCTTTTTATTTATATATTAGTTTATATAGAAAGAGAACTAAAACCACATTAGGAGAAGGTAAAGCTCGTCACTGGCCATAGTATACTTTTAAATGACTGATATAAGAAAAGGCAATATATGAAGAATTTATTTAAAAGCCTATTTTTTTTCTTTGAAGTTCAACTGTATTTGTTACTGATGAAAACTAATGTAGATCACAATGGGGAACATTCAAATGGCTGACTTACACCATATTAAACGAAAAATGTTAAAACAATCCATTTCTTTATTATAATTCATTCCATTCAATTTATTAATTACAACAAAAAAAATTATTTCATTTATTGGAGATTATTTCATTTATTGGATATTATTTATCACTTACTACTTTTTAAAATCTTCTCATTAATAAACAAAAATTAATCTAACTATTATTTTATTTATATTTTTTAAATTTCTAAAATGTATTTTTAGAATTCTCTCTACAAAATATAAATTCAAACATTGCTTTAAAATATTTTAAAAAAATTCTTTTGGAAATAAAAGTAATTCATTTTAAACCATACTATATAATAAGAGAAAAAAATTAATATGAGAAACATGTAATAATTTCAAATGCAATCATTTTTTAATTTCTTTTTGCACCATTGTTATAAGTAGTTAACAATATAAGTTATCCTTACAAATTAAAAAAAAAAGAATTTGTTTTCTACATGAGCAGTATCACTCAAACATAAACACGGTTTAAATTATTTCATTTACGAATATTTTCAAAATAAATTTTAAATGTATAACATTACAAATCCAAACTAAGTTAATTAATTTTATCAGACATTAGTAAATGTTTGTTTCTTATATATAAAACGTGTGGAAGTATAGTTTTTTAGATAAATTGGATATCCATCCATAAAATATTTATTGGCTCAATGAATTCTTATAATAATGAAATAGATAATTTTAAATAATTTTTACTAGATAATAGTGAATTAATGCGTTACTTCTATGAATCTATTATAGTCGAAATTAAAAGTTATCAGATCAGTTTTATCTATCCATAAAATCAATTGGCAACCGTATAGTGGAACATAATGCCAGTACATGGTGGGCTCGTGTTATATGAAAATAATGATGTGCTTGTTATTTAGAAACTAGAAGATAAACAAGTCTCTATGAAAATTCATTATTTTACAATAAAATTGAAATTATTTGGACCAAAATGTCAATCACAGGTTACACCCATTATTGTAATGGTTGGAATAATCGCACATCTATGACTATCTACGCCCTGACTAAACACGGGGTACAGTGCTTCACATTCAAACAATAATACAATAATCCCCTATTCTCTAAGACCCAAATCCTGACTGATTGGACGAGTTTCCAATGATTCATGAATATAATTTGCTACACCGGTGGTCCATTAAACACAAGTAACTAATGGTTTAACATTAATATAATCTCGCACACAGATTAGAGGCATCAAGAAAAAGACCCCCAATTACAAGGTTCAACGGCAGCCGGGTTCTCCTTTCGTTGGTTGAAAAGATTGATCTTGGTTCGCGCACCCATGCCTAATCAAGCTTGACATTAGAATATAGAAGCGTGTCCCTTGTGAGCGGCATATTCAAGAGGTAGCATATCTGCCAGCAAACAAATAAATTAGTAAAATATTATACACCAATTTTAACATTACTTATCCACCATTGTATCGTTTGACAGATTCCTCTATGCATCAATCTCAAATCCACCATTGTATCTTAAATGACGGATCCTAAAGGACCTATTTGCGTAATTTATTATCCCACTCATGAGTCATACTTTCCAAAGAGAGACCCATGGTTAATTGAAAGAAACTGACACTTCTGATAACAGTGTCCACTGAATTTCCCTGAACAATTTACCCTGCCCCAGCTGAAATCAAAATAAAAAATCTTCCAATATTCAGCTAGACTGTAATGACATTTTAAACCAAACACAAAAGATGTTTCTTTCACTTTTTCATGTTTTTATCTAATAATATGATTATGGTATTACTATTTATTTTTATCTAATACTTACCCCCATAAGGGTTGAAACGAGCAATAGAATTCCTGTTACCCAAGCAAGGGTTCTCCTAACCAACACCACTTCTGGCAATGTTGCATTGAGTGCACTTGTTTCGGCCAACCATCGAGCAGTGTGGTGAGGAGTAAAGATTACATCAAACTTCTTTTCCAACTCCTCTGTAGTAGCCACATGACAGTAGATTATTCCAACAATTTGACCTGCTCAGTAATTGATCATTAAGAGGTTAAAATAAAGCAAATAAACTTTTTAAATCAATATTGCTCACATCTGATGATCAGAAGAATATGAATTATTAGCTAAGAGGCTGCTAGTTATTTGACTAGGTTTTCTACATTAAAGCAAATCATTGCCAATATTGCAAGGCTTTAATGTAAAATAAAAAATCATACAACAATTATTTAAGCCTGGCAAAATTCACCTTTATATGCTTCCTGAAATGAACTAACTATCTTTGACAAAGTTGCATATAGCACTTCAATTCCATGCTCAGCAATACTTTCAGTCTCATATTGCTCTTGCAAAACCTGGCCCATGTTAGTCAACAAAAAAAAATATCTCAATAACAATAACAGTCAACACATCGCAGATACATATGAACAAAGCATTATGCCATAGACTGAAGAATAAAGTGGAAAAGTAAGTGTATATTTTATTGATTATCAGTTATGTTCACAAACTTAATAGCAAAAAAAGGAATGCTCACTGTCTCAAGTATGCAATATTACTTTTGTTTTATTTTTACATATAGAGATAGATAAAGAAATAAAAGTAATAATGTAATCAAGGCTCCTTTTGTCATGGTAATGAAATTAGGAATTAAAAATTTACTATGCGGGGAGACCCTAAGCATTGGAGAAATATGTCTCGAAGACATGTGATACATGTAAATTGAGAAAAAGTACTAGGAAGAAAATTGACTCTAATACTGTGTATTGAAAGAACTGTCACTCTTTCAGAGTTGCATTCAACTGCTACTACTGAGTTTAATGAGATTAGCTACACATTTTTCCCAATACTTAATTAAATACTAAAATAGCAGTTAAATGAGTTTAATGCACTGCTGAACCGAAACAAACAAACATAAAAGTGTTATTGTGTTGTTGTACATTATCAAATAACAAAACAAGATAAACAAATTCTTTTAATTTGGAAAAGTTCAAGTCATTGACTGTGTGTAGAAATGCAATCCAACTTCAAGATGAATTATATTAGCTATTTCTTCTTTTTAAAACCTGTTGCTATATACAGAAGTGCAGTGACCGCATGAAGAGTTTTTGAGAAAAAATGCCAGATCTGGAAATCTTAAAAGCCTGCAGTCTTTAGATTTAGAAGTAACAAACTAGTAGCTTTGCAATATCTTTTTATTTTTTATCTAAATCATAGTGTAATGAACTGGTTTGGGCATAGTTCAATTCAATTCAATTAGTATGAAGTTTAAGAATAAGAAAAGTGTTGATTTGAATCTGAAAAATAGTATTTTAGAATGCACTTCAATTAGAGCAAAAGAACAAGTTCAGTTGGGTTAAAGAAAGTCCAGTTTAAATATTTCAAATAAAGTTCACAGTTTAGAAACAGTACAGATCAAATTTACTCACTTTGTTTTTCAATTCAGTCGATTCCTGAAAACTATATTTCAGTTTAATTCCACTATCACACAATTCAATGCAGTTTAACCTTTTTGAACACCCCCTCTAGCCAAGAATGCAGCCATGTCTCTTGCTGAGTGTTCCATTTCATTGCTATTGTGCATATTGTGGAAAATGATGGAAAGCCAATAAACCACTATATATATATATATATATATATATATATATATATTAGATAATGCTGCACATAAATATGATGGAAACTATAAAATTATGACAGTATTGTAACTTTACTCCTAATACATAATTGCCAGCATTTGATGGTTACACATAACTGCCATCCTACAGTTATACAGAACTAATTACTACCAGTTATTTTTTTCTACACATAATTCTAGAGTTTCTAATACAGATCTGTTTTCTGTTGCGGTTAATTTCTACACAACTGTCTTAAGTGGCCCTAACTCAGTTTCTGGGAAAATAGTGCAAGTTACATGTCAGTTATTCCAGAAATTCAAAGGAAAAAATGGTTAAAAACAAGAAAGTGAGTGAAGAAGAACATGGCATACCTTAATGCCATTGAAGCATCCCATTAACAGCTCGGCTGGACTCTTTGTAGTCTGTGATAAATCATCATGCAGTTGAATTGCTCTTTTTACGTCATGCATAAGAGACATAAGACCAAAAACAAACATCCTTTCAGCTTTCTGCAAACGCACATGTGGAAACCCCTCAGTCAGTCTTAACAACTTCACATTTAAGCAGAAAAATATACCTTAAAATCTTCATCATACCTCTGACATACGGAAATTCACTGAGGCACCATTTGCCAATGGAATGGAAAGCACTCCATTTAATGGCACAAAGGCATCGGGAACATATGATCCATCTATCAAAGATGACTAAGAAAACAAGACAAAGTCATTTTCACGTATAATGTGATAATCAAATAATATGGAAATAGCTCATAGACATGGATAATATAAATCAAAACTAACAAAATCTCTGATTTCTTTGTCAGTCCAGAATTCCAGTTGATCATCCAAAGAAACAACAGAAACATCGCTTTCATCTGCATAAATTTAAACAAAATGAAAATGAAATGCTTCTTACAAAAAATTAGTAAATGCCTACCACCATTTTCATCATATTCTATTTCTCTTCAAAAATGTACTTTTTAAAGCCTCACCTGGGAGTTCAATGTCAACTTTATCTGAATTTATACTCCAAAATGAATTGCTGAACATTGGACTATCCTGAGCAATTTTCCCAAGACCTGCATGCATAATTCACTACAATTATATTTTTATGAAATAGAGGACATAATATAGAAATTGATTATTATAGTTAATCGATGGCCAGAGACCATTGATTCCATTCACTTCCAGCAAAAATACAGCACGAGGCCTCTTGAATGGGTTAGGACTCAGAACCTTGTTCAACTGCAGAAAGAAATAATATTATCATCAATCAAACCTAATATAAGTACGATGTAACATGACTAATGTGGTGAAAACAGAACACCACTAATGATTTCAAATGACCTTGGATGAGCTGGCAGCTGAAAGGGTGGAAGGAGGAGCAAAACCAAGCAAAACTGACACAACAGCGCTAACATCCTGAAGCAAGAATGAAGGTTGCTGCAAAGTGGAATTGCACCACTCAGTGAGATCATCATTATTGATTTAAGCGTTGAACAGAATGCAGTAATATCAATCGTGAAACTAAGGGGAACATGGAAAAGATGAAAATGAAGAGAATATTCACCTTTAAATTCAACAGAAATCAATGTCCCCAAAATGAACAAATGTGTAGGTAAAATTATAATATAAGTTGCAGTAATATAGTTAAAACCGTGTCTATAAATATCATTTGGAAAAATTTAGATAGGACTCCAACTCATACAATATAAACAAGAGAAGATGTTGCAATTCAGTTCTCACATCTAACGAGAGTTCGTATTCATTTGTCAAGTGTCACTTCCCCCCACGTTTCCAACAGTAACAACTAGGCCGAAGGCTCATATTGCATGATTTATTCATAAGACTCCAAAATGGATTTTAATTTATTTATTTTTAAATTTGTACGCACCTGATTTTCAAAATCAACTCAAATCGAAGTTCGGTAGAACCGTATTCAATTAAACAACTGATGTTCGCATCGGTCAGCGAGATGAATTGGAATGTAACATAAAATGCAGAAACGAGAAAAAGAAGAATCGGAACCTCATCATTTGATGATCTGGCGCGAAGGAATTGATGACTGGAACTATCAACGAAGGTGAGTGAACCAGAAGCCTCACCCTGCGATAACACAAACAACCGAATAAAAGAAAGAGGAAATCGTTAGATCGAAACCGCCATCGAGTGCGTACGGGCTTGCCAGATTAAAGAGATTACAGAGAAAGAGAAACTAACCCTGATTTGAGGACAGAATAAGGAGACAACGAGGACGACGCTCCAAATAACGGAAACGCGAAACTCCATCGCAGAGAGAAAGATAGAGAGATCCAGAGGTTCTACTTCAGCAACGTGCTTGTTGTTTCTTGCAATAATGAAACAGCCAATAGCACAGGCTCGTTTGGGCTTTCTTACATTGGGTTGGAGTTTCTTTTAGCACCCATCTTTTCTTTTCTAATCTCCACATCACAAAACTTCCAATATTTTCTTGGGTCAAAATGATTTAAAATTCATAACTTGAAAAAATATTATGAAAGGTGTAATTTGAAATTTATAAAATTTTAATTTTTTTTTATAAATTTGGGAATTTTAATTGATTTTATTTTACTGTTTTAGTCTATTGAATATTTAAATTTTTTTATTTAAGTGACATTTACTTGTCTTTCCCTCTTGATATATGTAAAATTTTGAAATCAATATAAAATGATATTATTTTAATACAAAACGACAAATTACTTTTATTAGTTTTATTAAAAACATATTGAATGACAAGAAAATATTATCGTGGTTTACATTAATACTCCTAATAACAAATCCTTGATTATTAAATGATGACATAAAAATCATGTAAGAATATAACAATCTTGTCCAAATATTTTCAATAAAAATAATAGAAATTATTTTTCATTTTATACTAACTATAATATCATTTTACATTAATAAAAAAATATCACACCTCTTAGCCATAACAAGTAAACAAAAATATAGTCGATCAAATCACTTAGTTATAAAAAATTAAACACTTAATTAAAAAGTCTAATTCTTTTTAGTATTAAATAAATAACAAAAAATAATTAAGATTGCATTGAAAATAAATTAAGTCATTAAAAAATATATTAACAGTCTATAAATATATTTTAAATTATACAATCTAAATTATTTTATTTTCATTTAAAATATATTTTCAAATGTAAACATATATTTTAAATTACATAATAAAAAAATATAATAAACTTTACAATTTAGTATATCTTTTTAAATTGTATAATTTAGAAATATATTTTAAATTTTTTAATTTAAAATATATTTTCAAATTGTGAAATATATTATAATTTTTGAACCTAATGAATTAAACTTCAATACTTTTGCATAAGAAATAACCTTTTAGATTATATCATAGTTAAGTTAGAGGTTCGGTAAAACCATTAGTCTATTGGATAGGAATCAAAGCAAGATAAATTAACAAGATCAAATCTACTTAGAAATGCTATTTATTAACTTTTTTAAATATTATTGATTTTAAAAATATAACAATTTGTAACTATTAGAAGTCTTACATGGATGAGTTAAGATCAATTTACAGTGAGTTCAAACATTATCTTATAAGTTGTTTCGTAAGATTAAATTAAATTTAAAATTTACTATTTAAAATGATATTTCTTTATACTATATTTCAAATTATATTAACATTTTATACTTTAATTTATATATTTAATTTAAAATTATGGAGACAATAAGCACTAGGCACAATTCATAAAATGAAGTCAACTATCACTATATGTAATGCGGGTCTATCAGGCATGTTGTCACACCTTATTAAAACTAAACATATTGTCTGCATGTCCTAGTTAGCTCACTTTAGTCTACTTGTGGCCTACATTTTCTATGTATATATCTATTTTTTTCCCATGTTAGCACCATTTTTTACTAGTTTTTTATTTGTTGCTTTGAGATAGATAATCTAGAGTCACTGGTGCAAAAAATATTTATAATGTTATGCGTTGAACGTCTAACTACTCAATAGTCAACCCTAAAAATGACCGATGACAATTTTGTAAATAAATATAATTATTAAACGTTGTTTATAATTATTAGTCGACATAAAAGGATATAAAACGTCGAATACCTTAGCGTTAGACGTCAAAAAGTTAGTGAATTCAATAAAAATTTGAGTTGGAGATTGAAAATTAATTCACTTTATCTTAGCGCTAAGACCCTCTCCTCTGCTCAAACTTTTATCGAACGAAATTTGACGACCATCACATGAAATTTGACGACCATCAAATGCATGTTAATTAACTACTTTATGTATGATTTTCGTTTTGTTTTCACCGGTTATTTTTGTGTTCTTGTCCTTCATAGACGCATTTTTTTTTCTCTCACTGGTGGCAACACTTTATTATGATGAACCCACATTTGCAAAGGTTAATTTTCGTTTTCGTTTTAAAGAAATTTGTTGAACTTATTTGTTGTTTGTTGTTTGTTATTTGTTGTTTGTTACTTTTATTTGTTGTTGATTTTATATTACCGTTCATAGTTCTGCTTTTTTAGGTCTCGTAGAGTTGTAAAAAAGGATTACAATTAATTAAAAAAAATAAAAAAATTTTATTAACATCGTATATTTACAAAATTTAAAGTCGAAATTTTTAAATTCGACGTCAATTTAGCGTCTCCCAATATGACGTCGTTCTTGAATTTGATGTGAAAGGCAAAAAATATTCAACGTTGTTGTACGTTGTTTTTGTATTAATGAATTGATCTTCATTATTTTCTTGTTATTTCAAAGCATTCTTGATATTTAAAAGTCTTAATCCCTTGCTCCCATTACTCATAATTGATATTTACATGTCATAATTCTTTACTCTCAATATTTGTATATTCTATACGAGTTTCCTCTATCAAAACTCCATCCCTTGATTACATATTTTTTTTAGTTTCTAACTTATTATGAAATGTATTTTATGCATGTAAATGAGCTAAGACACCAATAAGACTAAGTAAAGTTTACTTTTGAGTATTTATTTATTAATCAGATCCTTAGTTTTATTTATGAGATAGCAAAATTCTCTTTTGCATCTTAATCATTTATTTTGCAATATATATATATATATATATATATATATATATATATATATATATATATATATATTTTTGATTATATGGTGCCAGTTGTCTACTTCCCTTAAAGTTGCTTCCTTGAAGGAAAAGTTTAAATACAATATGAAAAATTTATTTATCAATTTTGTATCTCTCAACCATTTGTTTTCCCAAAATTTATTTTTACTACTTGTTTCTATTTCCTAGATTATGTTCTCTTCTAATCATATTTCAATTGTCCTTCTTTAGATATCTTCCTTATATATTTCCACCACCATGAATCATGTTGATAACGTCTATTTTTATGTGTTTTGTGTGTTTGTTTTTATTAATAAAATGAATTTTTTTATATATTTTATCTTGTTTTATCTTTAAGTTTAATGTGTTTTGTGTGTTTTAGTTAGTTTATACTTGTTTTACCTCTAATATCTCTTTTAAGTGTGTTAAATAAATGAATAAGAAACATTTATGGTGGAAAGGAAACATAGCTAGATAAGAAAAGATGAAATTTTAAAGCAAATATCCATGTTGGGCAGCGCCAATCGCATTCATTGCTACAAAGTTAAATAACAATTAATGCTATAAAGAAGCCTTACGTTGAGCGACACAAAAGAGGTGTTAAGTGCCACCTAGTCTAGTAGAGTTGACACTGAGCGGTGGTTTGACAAGGATTTTTCCCATTTTATCAAATGAAAAGCAATAATGATATGCCACTCAGCAATGACATTATTGACATGTCAAAATAAGTTATTTATCTATGTCTTTTGTAAGGATTTGAGTAATTCTCTTTCTCCCACACTTTCTCTCCACCTTGAGCAATCATGAGGAGTTCTTAAAGACTATTTGGGTTGCTAGAAAGCTCTCTGATTTCTTTTTTGGGGTTTCAATCTTCATTTATGGTGTTTTTCTCCTTTTAGGGTTGATGAGAGAGAATCTATGAATTGAAGATATTGATGCAAAGGGGAGACACGATTAATGCATAAAGTAGTTGCTAAGAACCTTGAAAAAGGGCACTAGTAAAAAAAGCGGATTTTGTCGCCCCATATACGCTTCGGTTATTGAGAAAACGAAGCGTACAAGGTTATATGCCTCGGTTCCCATTCAACCCGAGGTTTAAAAGCTATATTGCTTCGGTTAACACAAAACCGGTGCCTATACACCTATGCTGCACAGGCTGAAAAATCTGACACGTAATTACTGCCTCGGTTTGCTACGAAACCGGTGCCTAAACCCTTCCTATTGCTTCGTTTGGAATGAGACCGAAGCCTATACACCTCTGCTGGTCACTCTATTGACTCGGTTAAGGGTAGAACCGAGGCCTATTACCCGGTCAAATCACTCACCTAACCCGCTTTTTCATTTCCTCTGACACTCTCATCATCTCACTCTCATCTCCCCTCTCGTTCCCTCGTCCCACTCTCATCTGCCCTCTCGCCCTCTGCCTCTGCCCTCTCGCCCTCTCGCCTTTTCGCCCTCTCGCCCTCTGNATCAACTTGTTTAACCAATCAGATTTAGTCCACGTATGCAAATATGTTAATAATTAATTATTTATGTTCTTAAAAGGTCGGTGGAAATTTCGTGGAAATTTCACAAAACCTTTTAATTACTATTTAGTGTTCGGAAATGTTATAACAATTGATATTTTAATTCATACATAAATTTAATTATCAGTTATACATATTTAACTAAAACGTTACACAAGTTTAAAATAAGTACTGTTCAACAAATAAATAAATAACAGGTGGAAGTGTAAAATGAGTGTGCATTACAAGGAGGTGTACGTTTATCATTTTTCTTTCTATAATAGATTATTGTAGGCTTAAAATTGTTGTTATTTTACAAACCTTATTTTTTTTATATTAAATATAAATAAAAATAACAGAATAACATTGATTTTAAATGGAATAATCTTAAAACTTTAATTTTTTGTACTTTCTTTCTTCTTTTAATTATTTTTTTGTTTTATTTACTCTCTCAATATTTATTTTTCTACAACAAACACAATCCTCAAAAACATTAATTAGCATTTAACTTGTAATAAATATATTAAAAGTCATACACAACCAATCATTAAATAAATGTGTAAACTGTTTTACACTCTTAACCTTTAATATATGCATAACTGTCGGTAGTTGATTAATTGATTTTATCATCCACATTTATTACTTTATTTTCGGTTTAACTTTTTTAATATTATAATAAAAAGAACATAAATTTAATTCAATTAATGTCTGTGAAGACAATTACTGGGAGCATATAAATATGATATAATAAAGCAATATAAATAAAGGG